TGTGTGCATCTAACTGTTCATGGTGGTAGGTGGTACTTTCCTGTTAAAGGGAACATTCATTATTATCGATTATTTCTTTTTGAATATCGATATTTTATTTTTCTATCCGATATATTGATTATAACAAATTAAAACATATCAGCTGACAACTTAGATAAGGATAGGCTAAATAAATATTGTTCAGTATTAACAAAGGTACTTTCCTGCTAAAGGGGCATTTTAATATCAATGATTTCTTTTGATGACATATCGATATTTTTTTACCAAACCGTCTGTATATATTCCTTTGTTTTAATATCTTCAAACGCATTTAAAAACAAATTAAGAACTAACCTTGTTTAGGCAAAAATAATAGCCTAGGCCCTATATCTGGATTAGGAAAAGAAACTATTCAACCTAACATAACCAAAGCCAACCAAACTTACTGTAGTATAGGCTAAGTTACCGTTTCAAAATTCCGTTTGATTACAGAAAATGCATATGGGGAATAGGCTAGCAAACGAAATTTTGAAATAATACAGCAAGCTTGGTTGGTTAGGATAGTTTAGAATAGTTTCATTTTAATAATATTTTTTTAAATTGTTTGTTAAGGTAATTTGCTGTTAAAGGGATGCATTGCGATAGCATTCCAATTCCATTAATTTTTAACGATATTTTTCCGATATATCGATATTTTTGGTCCGATATTATCGGAATATCAATATTGAGGCTCTCAAATCAAATCAAATCAAAGCTTTATTTTCCAATAGACATTACAAATGCATGTGGAATGGTCAATGAAGGTATTATGTTGGGAAACATTTGTCAAGGAAGAGTACAATAGATGTAGAGTACAAGGTCAAATCAAAATATACAAAGATAATATAAAATACATGCAGATGAGGATAACTATAAGAGAAAAAAAAAAGTACAATCATTACTCAATATTTAATGGTTTAGGAAATTCTAAAAAATCGTTAAGTTTGTAGAACGGATTCTTAACTAGCCACATATGAATTTTAGCTTTAAAAACTTTGTAAGGAAGTGATAGCAATTTGTTGGGCAATTTATTTAGACATTTTAGGCCCAGAATTTTATGACTTTTCTTTGTTTTGCTCAGTCTAACATGGGGTATATCAAATTGATGTCTGTTTCTAGTTTGAAAATCATGAAAATCACTCCTTATGGCATGTGAGTCCATTTCCTTAAAACTAGTTAACATGATATTAAATATATATAAATTAATAACAGTTAAAATATTAAATTCAATAAAAATGGGGCGACAATGTTCCTCAGGATCAACCCTAGCCATTATGCGCAGGACCTTTTTTTGTAATATTAAGACATCGGAGACATGAGAACTATTACCCCAAAAAATGATACCATAGTTCAAGGCAGACTGAAATAAAGCAAAGTAAACTGATCTTAAATAACTAATAGGAACTAAATCATTAAGCTTACGAAAAAGGCAAATCATTCTACTTAACCTAGTACAGAGTTGCGTTATATGATCAGACCAAGTCAGTTGTTTGTCAATATGGACACCTAGAAACTTTACCACATTGGACAGTTCAGCTTCAAGTGGGCCTATATCATGTAGAGGTCTAAGGCAAAATATGACTGATTGTGTTTTGTCTTTATTCAAAAGAAAACTATTAGCTGAAAACCACTCAGCAGCAGTATTGACTGTGTTTCTGACATTTGACTTAAGATGCAAAAGGTCACTGTGACAAGATAGCAAGGTAGTATCATCCGCATAGAGATAGGAATTGCAACTAAGATTCATAGGCAGATCATTTATAGCAATTAAAAACAGAAGGGGGCCCAAGACGGAGCCTTGAGGTACCCCACAGTTGCTGAGGGCGATGGAGGACCATTCACCATCAGCGTATACCGCCTGTCTACGATTTGCTAAATAAGACCACAAAAGATTTAGAGCACTGTTTCTGATTCCATAAAACTCCAACTTATGCAGCAAGATCTCATGGTCAACACAATCAAAGGCCTTGCTAAGATCAATGAAGGTGGCCCAGGCAAAATCTTTATTTTCAAAAGCCCTGTGAATGTCCTGAACCATGGCATCAATTGCATCCACAGTGGACTGTCCAACTCTAAAGCCAAATTGTTGTTTGTTAAAGAGAGAATTATTTTCAAAAAAGCTGTTAATCTGATTGTGAATAATATGTTCTAGAACCTTGGACAGAACAGGTACTAGACTAATAGGCCGATAGTTTCCTGGGCAGTTTTTATCCCCTTTTTTGAAAATAGGACAAATTTTGGAAATTTTGAGACAATCAGGAAAGAATCCAACCTGTAGACAGGCGTTTACACAGTAAGTCAATGGTGAAATTATTACATCAACAATTTCTTTAATGAACCAGTTGGAGATATCATAGATATCTTTGGATTTGGTATTTTTCATTTTAGTTATGACTGACATAACCTCACTACAAGTGACCAAAGAAAAGTGAAACTCTGAATTGTTGAAAGGAACTTTTTGTAAGAAATGATCATAAGTATTTGCAGGTTTCTTAATACTGTTTCTAATACTGTTAACAGAGTTAATAAAAAAACTATTTAGTTTATTTGGATGAAATGGAAGCTTATTACCGCTTCCGAGAGATTGGGAATTTTCTTTTACAATTGCCCAGGCTGATTTACATTTGTTGCTGGAGTTTTCAATGAATAGGGCATTATAATTGAGCTTGGCCTCCTTTACTGCCCGTTTGTAGTTCTTAACTAGGGTCTTATACTCTAACTTACAAAGATTGTCACTACTTACACAGGTCAGATCATAGGCATGTCTTACCTGCTGCCTGAGCCTGTCAAGATCAGGAGTGTACCAGGCACGTGACCGTTTCCCTTTTGGGTTTGGTTTTGAGCGAGACTTGCACACAGGAAAACACTCGTCAAACACATGCATAAAAATTTCAAAAAATACAGAAAATATGTCGTTACCTGTGAAGTCAGTCGAAGTCCAAAATTGGTCAAATTTATCCTGCCAATTGATCAAGTTAATTTTGAATTTGAAATTTGTGATGTTTTGAAGAGAAAAGTGTCTTTTAAAGGCAAAGGTGCTGATCTTATCAGGCTCATGTATGATATCATTAACTATTCTGAAAAGAATGGCATTATGATCTGAAAAATGGAACGGTTCAATACAACAAAATACATCATCTTTGGGGATGTTAGAAAAAACATTGTCTAGGCAGGCATTTCCTCTGCTAGGCTGGTCATTGTGGAAGTAGATGTTAAACTCCCTTAGAAGGTTGAGAAGAGTTGCCACCGACCTCTTGGTAGTTGTCACGTCAAACTGTGCGTTGACATCTCCACCAATGACGATCCTATGGTTGGACCATTCCGTCACAGACGTCAGGATTTTTTCCAAAGCGTTTAAGAAAAGCCACTCATCACTGTCTGGGGTTCGATATATAGAAATAACAATAAGTCTATGTGAGGTAACAAGGACACCACATGCTTCAATTATTTTCTCAATACAAAAAGACGACAGGTCAAGTGGTCTACAGTCAAGTTCCAAACGAGAGTAAATAAGAGTACCACCTCTGCCATGTTCTAATCTAGAGAAATTGCTGACTAGGTTATATCCGCTGAGGTTAAAAAAGTCTATACCTGCCAGAGGAATCCAGTGCTCAGAAAGACATATTAGATCACACCGCTGGTGCATCGTAAAGTCCTCAAGTAGAGTTAACTTACCCATCAGTCCTTGGATGTTGAGGAAAATAAGAGTAAGCACACAAAAACTCAAATTTGAAGGCATTTTACTTACTTTATTTTTTGTACCATCCATGTTTATTTCTTCGAGTCGGTTGGCACTGATTCCACTAAAAAATTCACAGTCTGAGTAGGCCTATCGTCAGTGGAGCTACTTATCGACCTAGGCCTAGAGGAACGAGGCGGAAAAAAATTGCCGATTAATATACCAGTAGGCCAGATATCAGGGTTCATGATGTCCTCTACACACTCGGGCTGTACACCGATTTTAAAAGAATTGTAAGATGTGTGTCTCGTAGGAAGTTTTTCACAGACAAAACTGAGATCACCACATGATGCTTTCAAATGGTCACCGATGTCACTTTCAGTTGTAGTAGCTTGAAATCTTGTGACATAGATCCAAGATTGGCGAGGAACTGCAAGGAGTTTGTTACTACTGTTCTTACCAGATATCAGTTTAGTCACCCTAGGATTATTACTTTTGACTGATCTAGGCCTAGGTTGTCTGGTCTTTTTGCGATAGCACACTCGCGAAAAACCATCCTCATCCTTACTCCTACACTCTGCATGATCACATGAAGACTCCAAAGACTGAGGCCTAGGACTAGGGTTTGCCGGTGCTTTAACTGAAGATAGGCCTGTAACAGGCTTACTAAGTTTACTACCCTGTATCTTGCCAGTTGAAACACTAGGTAAATTAGAAGTGCATTTTTTAGGCACAATGTTCAGTTTTTCCTTGTTTGCAGCCGATTTAAGTGCATCAGAAAAGGTTTTGGCGGGATAATTTTCCTCACGATTAGGCCTAGACCAAACCGATTCAATATCAACACTGCTTTGTTTCTTGGGCATGATTTCACTGACGAGACCCATAATTACATCAAAAAGTTTATCATTACTTTCTTCTAATTTTGCTAGACGATCACACAATAATTCTATCGTAGCAGGGGGACCATCCTTCAGTTCACAAACAGGAACAGGTGGTTCATGTCCTTCTTCAATGTCTTTCTTGCATGCTGAACAAAACCAAGTAACTATATCACCAAGGCTCACAATACGGTCATATTTATCGCTCTGATATTATCGTCGATATAAATATCGATATTTTCTTTCGATATCCAACACTACTTCAATCCAACTTCATAAAAACCTCTCTGAGCACAAAGGGTTAAGGGTTTTCCTACCAAATGGCCAAACGACTAAGAGGATGATATAGATGTAAAAGTTATTAGTACCAGATTAAAATGTTGTTTTTCCAAACCTGAAAACTAAGTTAGCCTATTATATGTTACCTGGTGTAATATAAGTTTTCTAGCTATACTATCTCGAACGTAAAATAAAAATGCACTAATTCTAGTGAGTAACTAATGAACTTGCTTGCTAAACTGCGTCATGGATTAGGAGGATTGGAAACCCCAAACCAAATGGCCAAATAAACAAAACAAACAAATCTGCATTCTGCAATTAATTACCTGTTTTGTTTACAAGTTTTTAGATCCACGGCCTCTTGCTCTTGCTCTTCCTTTGTTCCTTTACTAAATAACTGACACTCCAATCACTCCATCCAATGCGGAATCCGGAATGCCTACAGTAGCCTATCCTATAATACCATTATTACCAATGCTAGGCGCTGTTTCATGATGCGGCTGTATTGCGCGCCACTGTAGCGGAAGACGCGAAGCGTTTCCTCCTCAGGTGGCGCCGTGGGATTCTATTTGAATTTGAATGAACGCGCTTTGAATGAGATATTTCTCGAAAACTATTTACGATATGTTTATGAAACTTTGTATACAGTTTTAATACGTTATAATGTATTTAAGAATAAATAATCATTGAAAAATATGTTTCTTTTTCAAAATACGGGTATTTAAACTTTATATATTTAATTACAAAAAACCTGCTGATTTTATGAAAAAAAAACCATGGACACTTTTATTTAGCATTTAAAATACCCTATCAAACTCCACCAAGTTTTAAACGATCCCATTACAAACAGCTGAGAATTGAGGATATTTAGTTGAACAGGCCAGGTACCTGTTTCAATGTTTCATAATAAACACCGCACTTCAAGACTCAAATCAAATCAAATCAAATCAAATCGTTTATTTGCACATTAGATTTGTATACAATAACATGTAACAAATATCATGCATCGTCAATATTTACAAACTAAAACTAAAACATACAACATGAGAATCTACATATATACACATTATAGGCTTAGAAATTCTGAGACGGAATAAACGGCATTTGAGCATAGAAAATATTTTAAGTTCCTCTTAAATAGGGACAAAGAGTCTTGGGATTTTATTGCCTGATGCAATTTGTTAAAAAATTCGATCCCCCTGTAAAACGGACTCCTCTCAAAGGCCGCAGTTCTGTGCCTCGGATAACAGAGGATGCCAGGGCCGGATCTAGACAATTTTTGAGTGGGGGCAAACTAAAATTTGCCGCCCCTCCCCCCCCCTTCACCCACAACAAAAAATCCCTCACAAATTAAACAAAAATGGAATAGGTAAAGTGGAATAGGTAGATATAACGAATTCCTTGATATAACGATTTTTTTTAAATCCCCTAGAACTCTCCATAAGACACAATGTATATTTTACCTCCACATAACGAACAATCCATAACAACGACCTTGATTTAACGAATTTTTCGTGATTTCGGCTAAAATAAGACACCTCAATATAACGAATTTATCATTGTCAGAACCTCTACATTGCGAATTTAACCTCTGCATAACGAATTGTCTACGTCTTTCCCTCGATATAACAAATCCCCCACCCAATTATTGTTTTGGGAAAATCTGTTTCTTTATCAAATGAAATGGAAAGGTCACGTCATCGCTTGTGCTAACATTCGTCTGCTCCGTTTTACATCTTTGTCTGCTGTCTCTGCGCGCGCTATGTTGCAACTGAGAACTGATTTCATTCACTGAGGACTGATGACGACGTAATGTTTAGTAAGCTGTGATTGGGCGATATGGGATAACTATGGTGAATTGTACAATTTTTTGATAAAGAAAAACCTAAGAAAGAATATAAAAACAAAACCAAAGAGAAAGAATAACAACATCGCTATTTTAACATTCCTTTTACGAGTATTTTTACCATCCTTAAGTTGGCTATGATTATACACTTTTATAATGACTTATCTAATAATTTATTGTTTTCAATACGATTTGTTTCAACTAGCATTAGCAACACCAATGCTATAGTTAATGATTATTATTGACATTCCTCTGTTGTGATAAATCAGTACTGTACTGTAAGTAGCCTACACCGGCCTATCACGAGCAGTAGCTTACAAAACTTTCTACTGTTTTGTTTTGTTCTTTACATAATTTATGACTACGCAATACAGTGTTTGGCTAGGTTTTAAGAGGGTTAGAACAAGCTGTGATTTTAAACTTACAGTTTTTAACCTGTACCAAGGTCAATGCCATTGTCATGATTGCGCAATATTCAAGATCCCTCCCCTTTATTATGCCGGATAATTTAGGTTCTACTGTACAATGTAAACACTGTACTGTAAAGTATTGTAGCCCATGCTACTTTAATTGTACTGTATTTTAATGAGGTCAAGTCCCGACCTATATTGATCGACGCTGGTTCTGAACCTCGACTTAGCGAAATTCCTGCAAACCTAACCTCTATATAACGAACCTCGTTTTAACGAAATCCTTGATATAACGAATATTCATATTCAGTTCGGTCCCTTCAGATTCGTTATGCTGAGGTTGGACTGTAGTTGCACTACGCAACGCAACAAAAGACGCAGTAGTTTTGATATAAACAGTACAAGTCACAACGTGAACTTTTCAAGCGTGAACCTGTGCGCTGATAGCGAGTGGTGTGGAAGGGGAGCAGTGCGTTCCTATGTAGAGTGTGAGGGGGGGCGGCGGCACGGCAGTGAGGCAGGGCGGCATGGACTAGGATGGCGATCAGCTGAAATTGTAAAATTTATATTGATTTCTATTGTAAAATTATTGTTTGTTTATTACGTTATGCAGTTTTGAAATTACTTAATTGACGTTCTTTATGACGTTCGGCTCATTAAAAACTTTTACAAACTGTATTAAACAAATTTTCTGCAACCAGAAATTTGCCGCCCCTCAACCCTGCCGCCCGGGGCAACCGCCCCCTCTGCCCCCCCCTTGTTCCGGCCCTGGAGGATGCCTCCATTTCTCGTCCGGTGGTCATGGAAATGCCCTAGATGTTGAAATTGATCCCTGTTGACAAAGGTCAAAATGAGGACCTGCTGAATGTACAACGAATGTACTGTAAGGATGCCAGAATCTTTGAACACTTCCTTGCAAGGATGGCGATGGGAGAGACCGAAAATGCGCCTCAGAATCTTTTTTTGGAGCTTAAGTATTCTTTCCAAATCAGAAGAGCTTCCCCAAACGGCAATGCCATAACGCAAAATGCTTTCGCAATATCCACGATAGACGTCCACAAGAACTTCCCTGCTACAAGTTGAACTGAGAATTCGAATGGCAAACAGAGCAGAACTGGTGCGATTAACAACACTTTGCACGTGACCATACCATTTGATGGAGGAATCAAAAATGACACCTAGGAATTTTGTGGTCAATGAGGGATTAGTGAGCTGCGTTTCAGGACTACTTTGATTATTCTGAGACGAACCAATCAGACCAAAATTGAGACATTGTGTTTTGTCTTTGTTAAGGAGAAGACCATTGTACTCAAACCAACTATTTAAGCTCTTGATGACCGAAGTGAATCTGTTCTCTAAGCTGGTTGCATTTGGGGCCTTGATTAGAAGTGCTACATCGTCAGCGAATAAATTCATGTGACAGTCATTTCCTTCATAATGGAGATCATTGATGTACAATAGGAATAAAATAGGAGAGATAATGCATCCTTGGGGAACCCCTCGCCGAGAAAGCATGTAGGACGATGAGATCGGACCTGAGGAACTATTTATGGAAACCTTTTGATAACGGCCAGACAAGAAAGAGCGGAACCACTGCAGAGCAATGCCTCTGACACCATAATGAAAAAGTTTATCCAAGAGGATCGAGTGGTCCACACAATCGAAAGCTTTGGATAAATCGCAGAAAACCCCCATCGTCTTCTGCGATTCATCCAGGGATCGCAATATCCGGTTCGTGAAGTCATAAAGAGCAGAAAGAGTGGACTTCCCTTTTTGGAAACCATATTGATGTGGACTTATGATATTAAACCTTGACAAATGACTAGAGAGACGACTAAGAACAACCTTTTCATAGATCTTTGATAATGCCGACACCAAAGCAACAGGCCGAAAGTCATTTGGCAAGTGGCTGTCATTCTTTTTTTGAAGAGGGAATATATTTGCGAATTTGAGTTTTGATGGGAATTTTCCTTGCTCTAGAGACTGATTTATCAAAATAGACACAGGGTAAGCCAACTGATGACCACAAAATTTCAAAATATTTGGAGAGATACCGTCCCACCCACATGAGTTCTTACTCTTTAGCGAGCCGATGACATTTAACACCTCGACTTCGTTGGTTGGAGCTAGAAACATTGAAGATGCCACCTGTGGGGAAAAAGAACGCAGCCTTCGCATAGATCCAGTCCCACAGGGTATCGGAGCTAGAGAAGTTGGATTCTCAATAAAAAACTTATTAAAATACTCTGTCATTAACTTTTTGTCAGAAATTTTTTCATTATTAATAAGCAAAAACTCTGTATCCCTATTTTTCCTATTCCTACCAGTCTCTTTTTTTACAATATTCCAAACAGTTTTTGGCTTATTTTTAGACTTCAATAATAATTCATCATTACATCTTTTTTTTGAGATTAAAATTAACTTCCTCAATAACTTAACATAACTTTTATAATAACTAATAAATATAGGATCTGATGAGCTTTTAACAATTCTACTCATTTCTTGTTTCTTATCCAAGACTACAAGTTAGAAGTTGTTATTTGTAATTTCCATTATATTTGCAATTTTATGAGGTGTGGAAAAGTGTCAAAAAGACTAGACATTGAACATATTTCGTGGTAACTGTTATTTGTACCCGTATAAAATAATGTTAATTTTTTACTTTTTGATTTTTTAATGTTGTAATATTGTTCATAATCAAAAGTTGACACCCACGTAGTGTGCCAGAAATTCAACGCTTTTGACGGGAACGCGCCAAGGTGCCACCACGTCAACCCGCCACCAAGTCAACCCGCCATCAAAAAGAAGAAGAAGTTTGAGGTGGCGGGTTGACGTGGTGGCTCGTTGTCGGGGTGGCACGTTGACTATAGCGGGCACGACAACCCGCCACCTCGGAAAAAGGTGTGGTGGCGGGTTGTCGTGGTGGCACGTTGTCCTGGTGGTGCTTAGACATGTTCATACACGTCAACCAGCCACCTCTTTAGTGTGATGGCGGGTTGACGTGGTGGCTGGTTGACGTCTACGTGCGAGGTGGCGGGTTGACGACACCGAACA